CTTAATGCTGCCACTGCCATTCTGCCCCTCAGGCTCCTGAACGAAAATGAGGTTAAAATGAGACTCAGTGTCCCCAGATTTCCTCTCTTTTGCCATCCCCTTCCCATCCCACACCCACCCCCAACAAAACAAGTTTTTCCTAAGACTTCACTGCCAATTACTACCAGGGGACAGGGATGGCCAAAAATGAAAACATGGGGATATATAAATTCTTAACAAATCTTACAAAAGTTTTAGTCACTGTCCTTTTGTATAAGTCTTGGCTTTCCTCTAAACTAGAATCCAAAATTTCTCTTCAACTCTAATTCTCTGCTTTAATTTTTAAGGATATATTAGCTCATCACATCTTCTCAGTAGGCTTGAAGTACATGAACAGATGCCAACAAAGGTCCTTTTTCTTATTTTTAGATTTATTTTTTATTTTAGGCTGCGTAGGATCTTAGTTGTGGCACTAAGGACCTTCACTGAGGCATACAGGATCGTTCGTTGTGGCACACGAGCTCTTCCTTGTGGTGTACAGGGCTTTTCTCTAGTTGTGGCGCACAGGCTCCAGGGCGTGTGGGCTCTGCAGTTGTGGCACAAAGGTTCCACAGAACGTGGGCTCTGTAGTTTGTGGCACGCAGGCTCCCTAGTTGAGGCGCGTGAGCTCAGTAGTTGCGGTGTGTGGGTTTAATTGCTCCATGGCATGTGGGATCTTAGTTCCTTGACCAGGGATCGAACCTGCATCCCCTGCATTGTAAGGCGGATTCTTTACCACTAGACGACCAGGGAAGTCCCAAGGGTCCATTTTGACATATACTAGTTGCAAGTTATTGACTGGGAGACCTCAGACTGCTTTAAACAGGAAGTTTCTCCTTTGGCACTTACCCACCTTAAGGCACTAAAAGTCTTGAATTGTTAAATATATACTTATTAAAGTAGTAAGCAATACTAAGCTTTTTAACTTTTTATATCAAAGGTTTTATATCAAAGGTTGAGAAATGAAAAACTTTCTATAACATTAACCAAAATTAAACTGAAACCAGATTACCCCAAGAATCTTGATTAAGATTTTAATGGAATAATAATTATTATTATTACATGCCTTTTGTTATTTAATTTTATGTGCTTATCACTTTCAAGTTTTCAGAAAATCTTGAATAAAAATTTTATATTGTCACAAATTCATGACATTCTGTGTAAGGTTACTCATTATAACACTGTTTGTAATAAAACTAAAAACAATCTACAGGGGAATAAATAAATAATAACATATCCATACAATGGATTCTATACAGCCATAAAAAAATATTAAGAATCGATTTCTAAGATATATTAAGTTAAGCAAGGTGCAAAAACTGCATATAGTATACTTCCATTTGTGTATGGTATACTATCCATTTGTGAAAAAAAATTATAAACCTACATATAAATGCATAAAATATTTCTGGAAGAAGGACAAGAAACTGATAACTCTGGAAAGAAAAAATAGTGGTTGGGTAGCACTAGTGAAAGGAAATGTACATTTTTATACCTTTTGAATTTTGAGCCACATGAAGGTAAAATTTCACTAAAAAGTTTTAAATGAAATAAATAAATCCATTTGATGAGCACAACCAGCCTGGGAGATAGGCAAATGCATTCCACCATGTAGATGCAGAGGAGAAAAACAAGACTTGGGGGTTGAGTGATTTGCCAAAAGGGATATAACTGCTGGATTACAGCACATGGACCCAACCCCAGATCTCCAGACTCCAGGATCAGGTTTCCATCCAACACACCAAAATGTATCTCCTTCAAAGGATACTCAGTACCAACCTATTTTATTATTTTTATTTATTTATTTTTATTTGGCTGCGTTGGGTCTTCGTTGCTGCGTGCCGGCTTTCTCTAGTGGCAGCGAGTGGGGGATACTCTTCATTGCGGTGTGCGGGCTTCTCATTGCAGTGGCTTCTCTTGTTGTGGCTCACGGGCTCTAGGGCACAGGCTCAGTAGTTGTGGTGCATGGGCTTAGTTGCTCCGCAGCATGTGGGATCCCCCCGGACCAGGGCTCGAATCCACATCTCCTGCACTGCCAGGCAGATTCCCAGCCACTGCGACACCAGGGAAGCCCCCCAACCTATTTTTTTTTAATAAATTTATTTATTTATTTTTGGCTGCCTTGGGTCTTGGTTGCTACGTGTGGGCTTTCTCTAGTTGTGGTAAGCAGGGGCTACTCTTTGTTGTGGTGCGCAGGCTTCTTATTGCAGTGGCTTCTCTTGTTGCAGAGCACGGGCTCTAGGCACACGGACTTCAGTAGTTGTGGCACGTGGGCTCAGTAGTTGTGGCACACAGTCTTAGTTGCTCTGCAGCATGTGGTATCTTCCCGGACCAGGGCTCAAACCCATGTCCCCTTCATTGGCAGGCGGATTCTTAACCACTGCACCACCAGGGAAGCCCCACCCAACCTATTTTAAAAAGCAAATAGTTTCTCACAGCAGCAACAGTCACTTCTGAATCTTCCTTTAGAGGAGGATGGCCCAAGTGTGAATCTGGGAAGAACCCTGAATAAGAGGTCCCTGCCTCAAATTACCCACTCTGCAAGGCTGTGTGAGAACCCTGAAGTGGTCATGATATATAGATACACACTAATGGTATGGATATTACACGACGCCATACATGTTTCCTTCCACCCTCAATTACATACCTGCCTTTTGCAAGCGGGATATATATCAATTAGGGTATCACAAAATTACCCCTCAAAACACAGGAGTTCTTTCTGTGGAGATGATCTAATCTATAGCTGGGGAGAGAGTGAAAAAAAACTTGGCAGTCTTTTTCTCATGTGAAATTTATAAATGTACATACTTGTACAATTTTCTGAGACTCTTCATCTGTATCACGTTTCTTGCTCCAAAAGAGCTTACTTTTTATTCAGGGCCATGTGAAAGGACAACACATATACCGAGAAGGTGGTAGGTGGCTAGATGACTTCTGGGCACTCTTTCCAACTGTCTTATCTTACAAACCTAAAACTCACTGGAGGGTCCTGTAAAAAGAAAGTCATTTTCCTAAGAGGGTTTTCCCTGTTGTAATTCTCCTCCCCTCCTCCCACAACCAAGTTTCAAACTTAGATTTCAAATAGAGGACAAAGGGGGAACTGAAGGCAGTTAGTTAAAAGGTACAAACTTCCAGTTACAAGATAAATAAGTACTAGGGTTGTAATGTACAACATGATAAATATAATTAATGCTGCTATATGTTATATATGAAAGTTATTAAGAAACTAAATCCTAAGAGTTCTCATCCCAAGGAAAAAATATTTTTTTCTGTTTCTTTAATGTATCTATACGAGATGATGGATGTTCACTAAACTTATTGTGATCATTTCATGATGTACATAAGTCAAATCATTATGTTGTACACCTTAAATTTATACAGTGTTCTATATCAATTATATCTCAATAAAACTGGAAGAAAAAAAAGAACTTCATTCCTTTTGGGGCCTGAATATTCCATTTATGTATATACCACATTTAAAAATCTATTCCTCTGTTGATGTATGCTTAGGTTGTTTCCATCTTTTGGCTGCTGTGAACATTCGCATACAAGTATCTGAGTCCCTGTTTTTAATTCTTTTGGCTATATAACTAGGAGTAGAATTGTTGGGTCATATCATAATTCTGTTTCTAATATATTTAAACTTATCATTCTATTATGTTGTATAAAAAGCATTTGCAGAAATCTTTCACTAGGAACTGTTATTATAAAAATAAGCATAAAACAAATATACATTTTATATGTTACTTATAACATAAATACATATTTACATATTTCAAAATTCAAAAAAATCCATTTTTTGTCCATGATTGTCAACATATTTGAGAAGTAGGGAAAATAATAAAAGCACAAATATACCACACACCATTTATATTTTTGCTTTTAAAAGACTGTTCAAAACAAATATATGAATATAATTTGAAAAACAGTGGGGTGAAACATGGGTCAAGAGATTCATTGTTTAACCTGCTAATATTTTTCTCTCACACTGGGGAACTGAGTTTTTAAAAACCTGATAAAGACACTTACTAAGTACTTTAAAACAACCATTAAATAATGCTTTAAAATAAAATCTTTTCTTTTTCAGGATAAACTCAAAGCTGGCAATGCTCTAAAATTTTTGGGTCTTGAGAGAAAACAATTTGAATGACTGAATTTACTACAAAGGCAAATTTCAAGAAGATATTTTATTTTTGTTTTTAAATATGTATCACTTATGTATCACTAAAATCCTATTTTGAACACTTTTATCTAGAAATAGAATATATAACCTAAATTGTTCATAACAAAAATGACTCGTGCTTTTATTCAGAAAAGCAGTACATTATTTCGTGTGCAAATCAAAAATAATTTTCCCAGTGCCTTTTAAATTAATGTCAGAAATAAAAAGCAAAATGTCATTAATGATTTATATGGAAAAAATAACAGATTCATCCCAGAGCATTCAGGTAGGTTCTACTTTGAGCAAATATATGTTCATAGGGCCCAAATAAACTGTTTTGATTCACTTTAACACCTTCCATTAGCCCAGAAGTGGGCTGAGAGTGCTTTAGGCTCCAAAAAAATAAATAATATACATATTCCATATAATGTCTAGGAGCTTATAGCCTAATTAAGGAGGCAAGACACATGTTCATGGAATAATAACTAAGCAATAAAACATGCATGTCACAGAAGTTTCAGTAAGAAAAATTCATTTGGATTCAAACTTTGGGCAGATCTTCACAGAAGCTGGAACTTGGGCTGAGTCTATACGGATGGATAAGGCACGTTTAGGTTTGGAAGATAGGAAATAGATAGGAAGGCAAAACTATGGGAACATAGTTCCCATATGAATGAGAACTTATCTATCCTGGAGAAAAGTTTCAGTATGTAATTTACTTTTACGAGAAGCTCTTTTAATTTAAAATACAGAGCAGAATGTTTAAAGAAGGCTGTAGAGACTGAGCAGGGCAATACCAGGGTAGCCTTGTTCTACTCACTTCATTTCTGGTCATCCCACCTGGACTGCTGAAAATGAACTTGGTCCTGGGAAGGGTGATGAACGTCTGTGGTTCATGTTCCTCTGGCTGAATTCTAAAATCAAATATAATTTTTCTAAATTACCCTCTTGCTTCAGTTTCATTCATACTTCTTTTCCCTTCCATTAGTCCAGAAAATCAAGTTGAGTACTGGCATGTGATTTGTACTGATTTAATTTTTGCTAAACTACACCCATCCCGTTATTTTTTCTTCATTTATTTAGTCTGTAACTCCATCTCTTTCTTGCTACTCCTGTTGCTTTCTAGGACTTTACCCACCCACCACTCTGTTACTCCAATCTGCCTAAAAAGAAAAACAAAGTTGTGCAAAACAGCAACATGAAGCATGTGTTATTATTCTTTTCCTTCCCCATTCTTTGGGGAAAATATCTGTTCCTTTTCAAATAATATATATTTGAGCACTGTTAACACAGTGTTTGATGATTGTGTTATCGTGAAAAGTAACTTGATCATCTCATTCAGTATCATAGATCTATAGATACATAGTTTAAATAGATACCGGGTATATTCATAGTCACAGAGTATTTATATGATGTGCCAGTACTGTAGGACAGTTCCAGACACTGGGGATATAGAAGTTAACAAAAAGGATAAAATTCCTTCTCTGATGAAGCCTACAATCTGGAGGGTAAGAAACATAAATAAATGAAGGAGGACAAAGAAAGGAGGAATGGAGAGTGAGAGGGAGGGAGGGAGGAAGGAAGGAAGGGAGGGAGGGAGGGAAGGAAGAGAGGGAATTCTTCTCATACTGATAAACATTATGCAGAGATGAAAACAAGGAAATGTATAGAGTGACTAAGGGAAGGATGGGAGATAAAACATTGAGCTGTAAGGCCAGAGAATACCACTTTAAAGAGGACTTTGAACTAAGACTCGACCAGTAGAAAGAAAGAGCCATGGAGAAGAGTCTTGCGGGCAAAGGCTCTGAGGCAGAAAAGAGCTGTGGCAGAGCTTGTGAGCAAGGGGGTGAGAAGTAGCGACAAAGCGGAAAAGCTGGCCAGGTAAGCAGGCCAAGGTCAAGTTTAGATTTTCATATTAAGTTTTATAGGAAGCCATTGGAGTTTTTTTAAAATAGGTTTGTGACATGCTCTGACTTAGGTTTAAAAAAACACATTAGCAGCTGTGTAGAAAATTATTTAAAGGGGTCAAGAATGCTACTAGGGAGACTAGGCAAGAAATGATGGTGACTTGGGCAAGAGTAGTAGAAAGGAGATGGTGAGATGGGGTTGTAGGGAGAAGCAACAGCACTTGATAAATGTGAGGACAAGGGGAGATGGGAAGGAAAGAAATCAAGGCTGATACCCAGGTGCCTGTCTGTTATGTGTGAGTGCACCACAGTTTGTTCAATCAGTCTCCTACATTTGAACATTACATGTAATTTTCCAATATTTTGCAATTACAAACAACACTGCAATAAAATTAGGTTCAATTCTTACAGCAAACATAAGGACAACCCCAACTTCGATTTGATCAAAGATTAACTCTAAGATAAAATGAAACTATGCAGATGCAAGAAAAGATGAGAAAATTCCTCTTTAATCCGAATGTAAAGAAGGGCTTTCTTTCCTTTTTTCTAAAATTTATTTATTTTATTTATTTATTTTTGGCTGCGTTGGATCTTCGTTGCTGCACGCGGGCTTTCTCTAGTTGCAGTGAGTGGGGGCTATTCTTCGTTGCGGTTCACGGGCTTCTCATTGCAGTGGCTTCTCTTGTTGTGCAGCACGGGCTCTAGGGGCATGGGTTTCAGTAGTCATGGCACGTGGGCTTAGTAGTTGTGACTTGCGGGCTCTAGAGTGCAGGCTCAGTAGTTGTGGTGCACAGGATTAGTTACTCGGCGGCATGTGGGATCTTCCTGGACCAGGGCTCGAACCGTATCCCCTGCATTGGCAGGCGGATTCCTAACCATTGCGCCACCAGGGAAGCCCAAGAAGGGTTTTCTAATGATGTCTTTTCTGTGCAATAACTCTGGGGACATTTAGCCTCTGAGATGTAGCTAAAGGTATTAAATTCATCCATACCTTAGACACAGATGCCTTGACTCCTAGTTTTTTTCACTAGAGCAGCTAAGCAGATTTATTTTACCATCATGAGGAAGAGTGGGAAAAACAGATTTAGGAAGAAAGAGAATCAATAGTTCTACTGTGGGCTTCCCTGGTGGCGCAGTGGTTGAGAGTCCGCCTGCCGATGCAGGGGACATGGGTTCGTGCCCCGGTCCAGGAGGATCCCACATGCCGCGTAGCGGTTGGGCCCGTGAGCCATGGCCGCTGAGCCTGTGCGTCCGGAGTCTGTGCTCCGCAATGGGAGAGGCCACAACAGTGAGAAGCCCGCTTACCGCAAAAAAAAAAAAAAAAAAAAATATATATATATATATATGTATATATATATATATACGTATATATATAGTTCTACTGTTGGACTTGTTATATTTCAGATGTGTCTTAGACATTTAAGTAGGAATGTCCAGTAAGCAGTTAGGTATATTACTCTGGAGACTTCAAGAGGGAAGCAGTGTACAAAAGGTATTTAAAGAAATAAGACTGGATGAAATCACTGAGAGAAAAAGTAGAGCAGAGAACCAAAAGAACCCAGGACAAATACCTGGGATTCAGCAGCATTTGGAAGTCGGATGGAGGTAGCCAGCATTGAAAACTGAGTAGTGCCCAGTAAGGTAGGAGGAAAACCAGAAAAATGTGGTATTCAGAAGTAAGGGGGAGACAATGTTTCAACAAGTCCTAACAGCTTTAGGCATTAAAAAAAAAAAAAAAAAAGCTACAATACTATGATACTTTACAGAATCATATGCCCCCAATATAACTCAATCCCTTTATCCCAAAAAAGTTCCACTTCCTATAGTCCCAACTCTGATTAATGGCATCACCCAGTCACCAAAATTCTCTCCTTCACCCATATCAAACCTGACATTACCTCTGATAGATTCTGCCATTTTAACATATATCTTTCACTTCTTATCTTTCTTTCTTCCCTAACGCTCCCAACTAAATTCAGGTCCTCAAGTTTCAGCAGGACTATTGAAATAATCTCTTATGTCTACCCCTGCCTCTTGGCTTAGTCTGGGTACAATCCATCTTCCATATTGTGGCCAGAGAAAATTTTCCAAAGTATGTATCTGATCATATTGCTTTCTCTCTCTCTCTCTCTCTCCTTCAAAATTCCTCAGGACCTAAAGTGATGGTTTCTAGGCTTTGGGATTTCATTAATCAGTACCTCCCCCTTTGAAAAACTGTACTGATATCTCTAATAGAACATACTTCTCATTTTGGATTGCAGCTGCTATCTTCCCACTGGCCTGGGACTTCCTTGAGAGCAGAAACTATGACTTCATTCACTTATGCACTCATTCACATACATTCAACAATACTTATTGAGGGTCTATTATGCGCCAAGAACCACACTAGGTCCTGGGATGATGTAAGTAAAAACAAACACAGTTCCTGTCCTCAATTGTGCTTATAATCTAGTTAGGGAGACATGTATCAAATAAGCAACAAATTAATATAAAACTTCTACCATCACAAGAGCTATGAAGGAGAAGCACACAGTGTATAGAGAGCTTAAAATAAGGGATTTGAGCCAATCAGAGTTGGGGAGAGAATTTTCAGAAGTGTTGCTTGAGCTGGGATCTGAAGAGCAGACAAGAGCTAAAAGGTAGAGAGGCAAAGATGAGAGTGAAAAATATCTGAGGCAGAGGAATAAGAAATAAGACCACAGTAAGAAATAAGACCACTGGGGCTGGAGGTGAGAAAGCAAGACATTCTTGGTACAAAGTGACAAGATCACGTAGGGCCATACATCGGTTAAGGAATTTTATCTGTCAAAAAGCAATGAGGTTTTCAGGCTTATCTGGCGGCGCAGTGGTTAAGAATCTGCCTGCCAATGCAGGGGACACAGGTTCGAGCCCTGGTCCGGGAAGATCCCACATGCCGTGGAGCAACTAAGCCCATGTGCCACAACTACTCAGCCTGCACTCTAGAGCCTGCAAGCCACAACTACTGAAGCCCCTGCGCCTAGAGCCCGGGCTCCACAACAAGAGAAGCCATCGCAATGAGAAGCCCGTGCACTGCAACAAGAGTAGCCCCCCGTCACTGCAACTAAAACAAAGCCCGTGCGCAACAACGAGGACCCAATGCAGCCAAAATTAAAATAAATAAATTTAAATTTAAAAAATAAAGTTAAGAAAAAAAAGCAATGAGGTTTTCAATTAGGAGATGACATAACTAGAGCTGAATTTTGAAAAGACTCTTCTGGCCCTAAAACAATACTGCTCACACCCAGAATCTCAAAAATCTCTCAGGAAAATCACCTTTTCAGGCTTTTCTTGCCCATGTTTTCTACTACAAGTACTTCTCCAAAACATACTCCAGGGGGGGAAAAAAATCCCACCCCCATCAGATTCCAAAGGACAACTATGCATAGTTATCCAAGTACTTCTCTTCATTGTATTCTACCATTCCCCATATTTCCGATCTCCACTAAAAAGGAAGTGAGCTCTACTTCAATTTATATTACCCAACCAGAAAACTTAAACTTATATTGATGTAAAAAAAAAATGATACAAATGAATTAGTTATAAAACAGAAAGAAACTCACAGACACAAAAAACAAAATTATAGTTACCAAAAGGGAAAGGGGGGTGGGGGGAGGGATCAATTAGGAGCTTGGGATTAACATATACACATTACTATGTAGAAAACAGATAACCAACAAGAACCTACTGTATAACACAGGGAGCTAAACTCAATATTTTGTAGTAACCTATAACGAAAAAGAATCTGAAAAGGAATATATATGTGTGTGTGTGTGCATGTGTGTGTGTGTGACTGTACCACTGTGCTGTACACCTGAAAATAACCAACTAACAAACTAATCAACTATACTTCAATTAATAAAAAGTATATTCGAGATTGGTTCAAGATGGCGAAGTAGAAGGACGAGCTCCCACTCCCTCTTGCGAGAACACCAGAATCACAACTAACTGCTGAACAATCATCAACAGGAAGACACTGGAACTCACCA